TATACAATATTCTGTCTGTATGCCTGAAGGCCAGAAGAGGGCGCCAGACCTCTTTACAGATGGTTGTGAGCCACCATGTGGTTGCTGGGAATTGAACTCAGGACCTTTGGAAGAGCAGGCAGTGCTCTTAACCTCTGAGCCATCTCTCCAGCCCCCTCTGCAGATAATTTCAAGAAACAATCTCAGGGCTAAAGAGGCAGCTAGCATTTACTTAAAAGCAGCACGCTGCTAAATATGCGGGCCCAAGTTTGGTCCCCAGCCCCCATGTCGGGCAGCTCACAATCTCCCGTAGCTCTAGCTTCAGGGGATTGGATGTCCATGGTCTCCAAGGGCACTGAACTCACATGCCATACCTCCACATACAAATGCATATAAAAAAATCAAAACAAGTCTTTTTTAAGAAGTTGAAGAAAGAAACAAACGTGTCAGTGTGTGGTTCCCTAAAAGCCATGGTCTTCATCTTAGCCACTAATACGTCTATGTTCCAGAACTGTCTCATCTATAAAATGGGAAAACAAGTGACCCTACCGCCAGAGTTGGCAAGAAAATAACAAACCTGAAAAACATTGGGAAAAGGGTTTAAAGCCTGTGAGTCTGGAAAAGAGGGCACCTTCACAGGATTGAACACGCCAGCTGAGCGGAGCATGGCCCTCAAGCACCTGTCAGACTGGCCAGGCACCTCATGACACGGGTGTTCTCCCGTGTTAGAGCACGAGGTGCTGGGGCCACAGGGAGCTCTGTGACTGACACAGACCTTCTGCGGAGCAAAACCTGACTCTAGCTGGTTTCAGACATCTAAGTGCTAGTTTAAAACCTCTCCAGGGGGCCGGGGAGACGGCTCAGTGCAAGCCTGAAGACCTGAAGACGAGTGTGATTCCTGGAACTCACAAGGAGGAGGAACCAACTCCCGAAAGCCGTCCTTCACACACACTGGCACGAGTGTACACACACACATTTTTTTAAATGTGCTGATTTATTTCTAAAGATCTGTTTTTAATTTTATTTAGTGTGTTTGTATGAGTTTAAGCCACATATGTAGGGTACCGTGGGAGGCCAAAAGAGACCTCCAGTCTCTGGAGCTAGAGTTACAAGGGGTTGAGAGATTTCTAATGTGTGTGCTGGCGACCAAACTCAGTTACGTTTCCAGCACCACAGTGCTTAAACCCTCACACACTAAGCAAAAAACACAAATACTCAAATGGGAACAATGCCTGCCCTTTCACCCTATACAATAGATAAACTCAAAAAATAAAATTCCAAAGATATAATTTTTGCCTAATTATTTCCAAAGCTATTTGTGCCCCTCCCCACAAGGAAACCAAGGCAGCCTCTTCTTACTGACTGCACAAGGCTGAGGCACAGGTCTGCAAGAGCAGATACGAAGATGACCCCTGAGCAAGTTCGTATGCAAAGCTGCTGCTGTGCCCGAGGAGGGTGAAACAACTTATTAACCTTTTAACTAAACTTGTACCAAACTACTGACCATAATCAAAACTCAAAGACAAAGCAAGGGTTTTAGTTGTTTTGTTTTTGAGATAAGAGTCTTGCCAAGTAGACCAGGCTGGCCTTGAACTCAGAGATTTACCCACCTCTGCATCCCAAGTGCTGGGATTAGTGTGTACCACTATGTCCAGCTGAAGCAAGCTTTAAAGACATACAAGAGCACATAAGAGGTAGTCACAGGGTTCAACGACATAAGTTAGAAGCAGTCTTAGGCGACCTGATGCTGTAAGTGTGCCTATTTTGTTAAGTGGATGTTTTTACGTCTGACCGTATATTCTCAAACTGACCTAAAATGACTGCAACATTCTTGAAGAGTTTCCCGATGCCGCAGTGCGGGGACGGTGAGGTACAAAGACCCGCAGAGGCCCTAAGGCCCAAGCCTTAGCTAATATCTCCCTAGTCTGTTGCCCTCACTATTCCAGAGAGCTTCCGAATTTCTACAGGCTGTCGGTACCATCGTCACCAGGGCAGCTTCTGCTGGATGAAGACCTACATTTCCATGCTGAGATCTGGTGTGTATCTGAGGCTGCAAATCTCCAGCCTGATGGTGTGAGCATCTGCCACCTGCTCTGTTTGCAGACTGGAGACCACAGAGCAGTGAGCTAAGAGGCAGAGGCAGCTAGTGGCCACGTGATGCCTGGATGTTCCCCACTCACCAACCACCACAGCCTCTGGAAGCGGGAGAGTAGGTTACCTCCTGCAGAGCCTGGACCAGCTGCTGCTTCAGGTGCTCTTCTCCTGGCTCCTTCTCCAAACCCTGAAAAGACAAACAAGATGGAAGTTTCACTGCAGTCAAGCAGGAAAGGGAACAAAATCCCGCAACAAGCAGGTGTAAGGAGGAACAGCACAGGGCAGGGAGCAGGCGGAAAACCCCCATTTTACGGCAAGTTGTTGTCATTGAACGGTCTTACTTGCTCAACCACTGCATACTTCGGACTGTCAGCGGCAAGCCACGAGCTGAGTGGCTCTGCAAACAACAGGGTGACAGACTGAGCTTCTTCTATTATCTAATGCCATGATACCCAAATGGCTGAAACTGAGAAATGAGCCACAAATACAACCCCCGCCCAGGCCAGCACCCACAGCGTTTCCACGGTTTGTCCCTCCACAGTGACCACCCTCTACAAGCCACTTTCTGCCCTTGCCTGAGCCTCTGTCGCCTTTCCTACGCCAGCCATTCAAACTGCCCCCTCATCTGTGGCGGCTTCTCCCGCAAAGCCTCTGAGAGCTTGCTGCCTTAGGAATTACCTATAGGGTGGGCATTTTGAATCATTCATGATGTAATGCATCACCCTGAAAATTATTCTTCCAAAATGTTTATGGGCAGCATATCTTGTCACAAGAACTCAGTGATTACAAACAACATTTACCATTTTAATGCCACGCAGAATCCCAAAGACAGTGTCAGGCACTGAGGTGCTCCAAACACTGAGCATGGAGCAGGGGCAACAGCTTCTGGAGCGCGGGGGGGGGGGGGGCAGGCCAGACTACACCAAGGGCAGAGGGGGACGTGGCTAACCCAAAGAACTACATGTGCTTCTCGAAGTCATGCCAACATGACCTCAAGAAATTGCTAACCTAGCCTCTGCTGTCTTTAACCTTCTGCCCCAGAGAAAGGACTTTTAGCTGCATCTTTAGCGCACAGCACGGCCACGAATGCTAGTCCCAGGCGCGATGGCTTCTGAAGGAGCTACCCCCTGGAGAACTCCACTCAGTGAAGGTGCGACACACTGAGCAGCAGGACTCCCACCCTCTGGAAATGACAGCTGTCTGGGCTGCACAGGGGAAGAAGGCATGCCCACCCACCACGCATGTCCTGAAGGCACCCGTGTAATCCTCGGCTTTTGCTAATCCTACCAGCTCAAGGAGACAGCAGAGATCAGAAAGAAAGCTAAAAATTCTTCAGGAACGAGCCAACACTACTGCAAGCTGTTCCTTGCCCTGTGAGGCTCAAGCAAGATAAAAACACCTTTCACTGCAGCTGTGACGGCCCTTCTTGGTTCCAAGCCAACCACAGGGAATTCTTGACATTCACCATCACCTGGACAGCGGGGGTGGGAACAACAAGGGCCCTGCCATATGGGAACTGACATTTTAAGCAGGAACAGGATCAGCTCCAGCCAGCTTTATGCGCAAGCCTGTCATCTAAGTAAACCGTTTGGAGATGAGACCATACTTGGGCCCACCCCCGTACCACTCAGACACTTTTATCTTCTAGTAAAGGATGGTAGCTTATCATCCAGCCAGTTGTGTGCCTGTCCATGGAGAAACAAAACCGCCCACCCCCAGTGGCTAGAGCTGACCTCACAGCCAACAAGCTGTCATGTACAGGACAGTACAGGAGCTGAGCTATACTTGCTCTGGGCTCCGACTTGGTTTTGTCAACACAGAGAGCAAAGAAAGAAGTCCTAGGGCAATCACAGTTCTGTGGTGCCCTCATCTCTACCCAGCTTCTCCCTAAATTTATTTTGGACCTGAAACCCCTCAGTTTTCGATCAGAAATCAGTTATAACCCAGCTGGCTTTTGTGTTACCTTGCTCATCTTGGTACCCTGACTGGCTCCTGATCTCATCAGTGTGCTGAAATCTTAATCTTTCCAAAACTTTTTTTAAAGATTTATTTATTTATTATGTATACAACATTCTGCCTCCATATATGCCCACACGCCAGAGGAGGGCGCCAGATCTCATTACAGATGGTTGTGAGCCACCATGTGGTTGCTGAGAATTGAACTCAGGTGGAAGAGCAGCCAGTGCTCTTAACCACTGAGCCATCTCTCCAGCCCCCTTTCCAAAACTTCATCTTGGTTTTCTGCTCCCATTCTGTCTCCAAGGCTTAGCATCTGATGTCTGCTTCAAAGACAACTCTAGCCAGAAGTTCACAAAATGCCTGCCCAGCCGGGCGGTGGTGGTGCATGCCTTTAATCCCAGCACTCGGGAGGCAGAGGCAGGCGGATCTCTGTGAGTTCAAGACCAGCCTGGTCTACAGAGCTAGTTCCAGGACAGGCTCCAAAGCCACAGAGAAACCCTGTCTCGAAAAACCAGAAAATAATAATAATAATAATAATAATAATAATAATAATAATAATAAATAAATAAATAAATAAAAAAAGATAACAAAATGCCTGCCCAGCTGAAGGTACCTCTGCCTGCTATAGTGGTATATTATTTGTATTTGAATAAATAAGTCTGGCCTAAAGACCAGAGGCAAAGCTAAAGCCACTAAGGTCAGACAATGGTGACACAAACCTTAAATCCCAGGGTTTGGGAGATAGAGTCAGATGGATTTCTGTGAGTTCAAAGCCACCCTGGGCTACACAAGATCAATGTGGAAAGAGATCCAGGTGGTGGTGGCTCACACCTTTAATCCCAGTCCTAAGGAGTCACACGCCTTTAATCCCAGCATCAGAGGGAAAACAAAATGGGAGGAGAGGCTCTGGTTGCTTAGCCTGCGGTCGCCCAGCCTTGGTAGAGGTTAAGACTTCCTAGTGGCTTGGCTGCTTTGCTTTTCTGGTTTTTGAGTTGAGCCCCAATTTCTGTCTCTGGGTTTCTATTATTCATGCTACAGCCTGCTAGCTCTGTGGTACCTGGAGGTGATGCTCCTCCTCCTGGAAAGTCTTCTCCAGCTGCTCCACTCTTGCTTGTTGCTGAGCCTGCTCTGCATACAGCTGAGACTGTAAGTCTTGCAGTTCCTTCTCCATCCTGACAATCTTCTTGGAGCTCCCCTTTCGGGTCTGCCTCTTCACATTCAGGACGGCTACCTGTTTCTCGTGCACCTGTGTTTTCAGCCTCAGAATCCTGGACATGGTCACCTTGAACAGCTCTAAGCTGCTCTGAGATGCTGACGGGCTGGAGGCCTTCTGCTTCTTCGGATAAAGTTCGATGACCTTTGAGAGAGTGGGGCAAGCGTGAGTCCCAGTGGTCTTGTCACTTGCCCCAAGAGAAGGCAACGTAGAACACAAATATCCTGAGGGCTGACTTGCCGCTTCACCTTTTCCGCCTGCAGTCACTGGCTCAACAGTTTTACAAGAGACTGCAGGTACTTTGCAATTGAGAGCTGAGGGGCCTTCAGCCTCAGGACTTTCTAATCCATCCAAACTGAATTTCCTTTTAGTTCTCAAGTCTTCATTTTTTCCCCCTGTCTGGGCATTCTTCGGGGCGAGGCAGGGAGACAGCGTCCCCCAGTCTTCTTCAATGACTTCGTATTCATACTCTGCGTTCCCCTTATTGTCCAGCGGCACTCCAAGCTGGATGTGGTCTCCCTTTTGGATGCAATAAACCTGTAATGGCGCCAGCCGCTCCCTGTTCAGCCAAACACCATTCAGACTCTAGGGGAAATGAAAACAAAACAAAATAAGCTCAAGCTTTTCCCCCTCTTAATGGAATTTCTCTCTTGCTGCTACGAAACCTTCTGCCTTTTCAAAAGGAAAACCCTGGAGAACAAATGGAAGCGAAAGGTTCATAAACCACCATCCCTGGAAAGAGCCCCATGCGCGCGGTGCTTTGGCTTCCTGCCTATATTTCACATTCATGCCTCCGCAGAGAACCGCCTGTGTAAGGGGCAAGAATCACCTTACTCAAAACACGCAAGGCACTAAAGAACACTGAAACTCAATCACTCCTATTGACCTAAACTCCAGGCAATGATTCAAGAGCGGAAAGAATGCAAACCACAAGGCAGGAGTCACCCATGTTCTGCACGTGGGCCCTCCACACACTGAACAAGCACAGCACTTCCCAGTATACAAAATCAATACTTTGTACTGGGAGAGTCAAACTGTAGGTGGGACTGGCCTGAGTAACACCAGCAGCAGCTATCTACGCTGTTACAGTGTAGCAAACAGACCTTACTGTTATTTTGTCTATGGTCTCACTGTGCAGTTCTGGCTGGCCTCAAACTTGCTTTGTAGACCAGGCTGGGCTGCAATTTAGAAATCTGCCTGTTTCTGCCTCTTCAATGATAGAATTAAAAGTATGCACCACCACACCTGGCCTCCTCATTTTTAAAAAAAGATTTTTTTTTTTTTTTTTTATTTTATGTGTGTGCATTTGAGTGGCAAGTGCCCAGAGAGGCCAGAGGACCCCTACGGCTGGACTTACAGGTGGCTGTGAAGAGCTAAGGTGGGTGCTGGGAACTGATCTCAGGTTCCCTCCAAGACCAAGGTCTCTTACTTCTTGGAACTCAGCATTCAGGCTGCCCGGGCAGTGAGCCTGAGGAACTCCACTTCTCCCCAACTCCCCAGCCCTGTGGTTACAGACACCCACCGCCACACACAGCTTTTCACATGGGGATTTGAAGTCAGGTCCTCACGCCTGCCTGGCAACCTCCCTAGTCCCTGCTTCATTTCTTTGGGACAATCTGGCTACATAGCCCAGGTCGGCGTGGGATCTGCTCTACCCTCCTAGTTCTGGGACTACAGGCCTATATCGGCATGCCCGGCAACTTGCCATGGTGCCTTCTCACTCAGTATTATGTTTGTAAGACGTCCCCATGTTCAATACAGTAGTGTTCACTGTGGAACTCATCTTTCGTACATTCTACTGTGGCCTCTGCCTCTGCCTCCCCGGTGCTGGGATTAAAGGTGTATGCCGCCACCACCACCTGGCAGAATTCTTAAAAAGTATGCCAGAGCTGGAGAGATGGCTCAGGGGTTAAGAGCACTGGCTGTTCTGGCTGAGGACCCAGGTTCAATTCCCAGCACCTATAAGGAGGTTCACAACTGCTCACAGCTCAAGTTCCAGAGAATCTGATTCCCTCTGGCTTTGCCCAGGCACACAAGGACAGAGTACCTGTACACAGAGACCAAATCCCAAGTGTGCCAGATGAGGGCTAGAGCGGCAAACAGAAGCCAGGGCCACTCTGGTTGTTGTGATCCTAGCAGGCCTGAAGGGGAATTACTCCAAGTAGTGAGACTCCGCCACAAAAAGCATGTTCCTAGGACTTGAGATGCCAGAGTCTATGGCACAAAGGAGAAATCACCAAGGAGCAGATGTGCTTAAGGCTAGCCTGCATTACATAACAACACCCCCACCTTAAAAAGAAAGTCCCCTATTCCATGGTCTGTTTCCATGTTTCAGGAGTTTGCATGTTTGCACTTGAGGTGCTTCCTAACTGCTGGGCTCTACTTCCCGCTAGACTGATCAACTGCTTCCTAGTTGCTGGACTCTGTACACTTCCTGCTAGGCTGATCAATTTACAGTTTGTTTAAAGAGAGTTAGTTGAAGGGACAGCTCAGCGGTTCAGAGCGCTTGCGCCTTTTCCAGAGAACCCTAACGCAATTCCCAGCACCCACATGGGGCACCTCACCATTGCCTGCAACTCCAGCTCTGGAGAACCCAAACCTCTCTTCTGGCCTCAAGCACCTGTGCACAAATGTGCATACAATACACACAGACGCACATACATGTAAGTAATACAATAATAAAATAAATCTAAAGAAATATTTAAAGCAGGAAAACACATTATTCAAAGTCAAATGTTTCTGAGAATACCGACAGTTAAGCAAGGTTTTTTTCTTGCTTTATTTTTATGAGCCTGTGTGAGGATGTCAGATTCCCTGGAACTTGAGTTACAAATAGTTATTAGCTGTCATGTGAGTACTGGGAATTGAACCTAGGTCCCTTTCAAGGGGCCTGTTTCCGCAGAACTATGGTCTACCTCTGGAAGAGGAGCCACAGCTGCACTCCAGACACTCCCTTTGAGGTAGGGCTCACTCAGGGCATCCATCACCTTGCGCAGTCTAACTTCCTGCAGCACACAAAAGTGCTGTGCCTTCGAAAGAGAAGAGGTGAGCGTGGCTAGTTTTTAATATTTTACGAGGACAACTATCAGGGGTTAAGAAAAGGAAATCTGGGATTACAGATATGTGCCACATTTAAACCCAGCACTGGGGATGCAGAGGCAGGTGGATCTCCATGAATTCAAGGCCAGCTTGGTCTACAGAGCAAGTTCTAGAACATTCAGAGCCACAAAGAGAAACCTCTGTCTCGAAAATCCAAAATAAGGAAAGAAAAGGAAAAACTGAAATAGCTCAGAGGGCTGGAGAGAAGGCTCAGGGTCAAGAGCATCACATACCCTGTTCAGTTCCCAGCACCCACACTGAGTAGTTCACAGCAACCTGTAACTCCAGGGCCACGGGGACCTGGCTAGCCTCTGCTGGCTCCTGCACTCACGTTCAAACACACACACACACACACACACACACACACACACACACACACACATGCACACAAAGCACATGGGAGTAAAACTCAGCCAGGCAGTGGTGACACACACCTTTAACCCCAGCACTAGGGAGGTAGAGGCAGGTGGAGTTTGAGGTCAGCCTGGTCTACAGAGTGAGTTCCGGGACACTCATGGCTACACAGAGAAACCCTGTCTCGAAAAACCAATCAAACAAAACCCATAAAACTCATTATGAATCATTAGGCTCATGTGAGCTCCTGTACCTCGTTGTCCATAATTGTCCACTGTCCCTCGGGATTCTGTTTCAAAACACAGTGGTTCCGAGAGATCATCAGGGGGCAGACCTTGGATATCAGCTGGTAGGTAACGCCAAATCCTCGTCCTATCGTCACCTGAAAGACAGGGGTAATGTAAGACACAGTCGGTCACTCCCTAGAAGGGAGGTTCTTTGCAATCTTACCGACCAGCAGCACACGCGGGTCCTGACCGGTTCATCTGCTGCTGTGCCCCTCCTCAGCTGCCACAGGGAGCCACCACAGAGGAAAAGGCAAGAAGCTGTGCTAAGAGAACAGGTGAGAGCACTGGCTGCTCTTCCAGAAGACCCAGGCTTGCTTTCCCAACAGCGACATGGAGGCTCAAAACCATCCATGACCCCAGTTGCAGGAGATCTGATGCCCTCTTCCAGTATATTACCACCTGCCCCGCAACCAGGCACCAGACATGTATGTGCTGCACAGACATACATGTAGTCAAAACAATCATACCATAATAAAAAATAGAGTTACCATGAACTCTCAGGCTAGCACAACCCCGAACCAGTAAGACAAGGATTTCTTGAAGTGAGACAACGCTCTTGTACACTGTAAAGATTTGTCTCTTGTAATGGTTTAATGAAACACTGATTGGCCGCCAGTAGCCAAGCAGGAAGTATAGGCAGGGCAACCAGACTAGGAGAATTCCGGGAAGAGGGAAGGCAATGAGGCAGTCACCAGCTAGAGGCAGAGGAAGGAAGATGAGAATGCCTCACTGAGAAAAGGTACCGAGCCATGTGGCTAAACACAGACAAGAATTATGAGTTAATTTAAGTTGTCAGAGCTAGCTAGTAATAATCGTGAGCTAACCGGCCAAACAGTTTATAGTTAGTAAAAGCCTCTGTGTGTTTCTTTGGAACTGAACGGCAAGCTGCTGCCTACAGTTTCTTCTCTCACATCCCCATCAATTCATCTTCAGCACTGCCATTAAAATACATAAGGACTTTTAAATGTCCAACTTGGCTTCCTTTTCTCTGCAATTCTTCCAGCTGGCCCTGGTTCTGCCCTAGGTTCATCAGGGAATCTCCCATCTCCTTCTTCACATAGTGAAGTACCCGAGTCACCATTCCTGGCCCTCTAGTCCCAGACATTGTCCTGAACTCCCACAGCCTGAGTTTGACATCTCAACCCATCTATGAGAGAACTCCTGGTTTAGTGTTACAGATGTTATTTAAGAAAAAGAAATTTAGGGCTGGAGAGACGGCTCAGCGGTTAAGAGCATTGCCTGCTCTTCCAAAGGTCTTGAGTTCAATTCCCAGCAACCACATGGTGGCTCACAACCATCTGTAATGACGTCTGTTGCCCTCTTCTGGCCTGTAGGCATACATGTACACAGGATATTATATACTAAATAAACAAACAAATAAATAANAATAAATAAATAAATATTTAAAAAAAAAAAAAAAGAAAAAGAAATTTAGGGGCTGGAGAGATGGCTCAGTGGTTAAGAGCACTGCCTGCTCTTCCAAAAGTCCTGAGTTCAATTCCCAGCAACCACATGGTGGCTCACAACCATCTGTAATGAGGTCTGGTGCCCTCTTCTGGCCTGCAGACTTACACACAGACAGAATATAGTATACATAATAAACAAATATTTAAAAAAAAAAAGAAAAAGAAATTTAAGTTCTTCTATAAAGTCAAGTCACGTATGGTTTCCCCAGTTCTAGGCATGGCTGCTGATGGGCAACACCGGCCTTCACAGCGCTCCAGCACACTGCCAAGGCATCCTAGGCCTGAGAAATGACTCCATTCTCCATCCTCCCCTCCTGCAAGACTACCATGCTGTCTTTCTCTATCTGACTAGCTGGCAACTGTGGATTCAATGGCAGGGCCTGACACTGCTGCCGTTCATCTTCATCTATTAGTTCAGCCTAGCACGCTGCCTTCTAAGACTTAACTCTTTGATCTGCCATCAGATAGACATACACCATGTTCCTCTAGCATTAGTTTCCACAAACCTGATATGGCAGTTGATGCTGTACCTTCAGCCAAGACATAAGAAAATAAAATAGGGTCTGGAGGGATGGCTCAGAGGTTAAGAGCACTGGCTGGTCTTCTTATTAACTCATAATTTATTTTAACCCATAATACCTGTCTGTTGGCCAATCAGTTTATAATAATGTAGACCTCTGTGTGTTTCTTTGGAACTGAACGACCGCAGGACTAGGTGGGACAGAAACCTCAGACAACAGCTCTGTTTCTGAAATAACCAGTAAGTACTCTAACCATTCCTTCCCGTTTTCCAACCCACAGATTCATGAAAACCAAATACAAGAGAAGAACACAAGCAAGCAAAAGACACAGCTTTTCTTTGCAGGACTGAAGTAGCTCGCCTGCAATAAACCTCTGCTCGTCTGTGCTTACACACACATCTCTAGACTAGTTCACAAAGTTTGAAGACACCCATTCAGACAGATAACCTACCAAAGGACTCCTTCGATACAATATGAGGAGCCCGCCGTGTTTTATAATTTTATCTGCGAAAACTGAAACTGAGGGAACTAACCCATCTCAGCTCTTGGCCGCCAGCACACCTCCTGAGACCTTGTGCAAACCTGCAAACCCACGTGTACTATTCACCTGAGAACCATTACGGAAGACCTGACTCAACCTGACCTCTGTGCAAACCCTACACCCGGCAGGCCACGCTCTAAATGCTGTCGACAACCTGACTTTGACATCACCAGGCGGGTTTCTCTTACACACAGTGGCCACCCCCACAGGGGTCACTCCTGACACCACCTTCAGCATCCTCTTGGTTTGTTAGGATCCCTCTCCCCTTCGAGATGACTCCACACAAATCTACAAAACGGTACCGAACATCTCAAGGAGAGCTCTGTAGACGAAAAGGACTTAAATTAAAAATAAGTGGCTCTCTAATGCCTGCTAATTTAAAGCCGGGCCTGCTCTAGAATAATGTTAAACAAGCCACACCTTGGCCAACAGAGATGTTCACGGACTCCTTCACTGTATAAATCCTCTTTTCCTGGTTCAAACCATAAACTCCAAGGGCAGAAACTACAGTTGAGAACATACAGCTTCTCAAAAACAACAACAAAATACTAAAACTGCCAAGACAATGAGTTTAGCTTACGTGACGTCTCAGCTGGGATTACTATTGCTGCGATGACACATGACAAACAGAAAGCAACTTGGGGAGGAAAGGAAGGAGGTCAGGACAGGAACTCAAACAGGGCAGGCACCTGGAGGCAGGAGCTGATGCAGAGGCCATGAAGGGGAGCTGCTTACTGGCTTGCTCCTCGTGGCTTGCTCAGCCTGCTTTCTTTATAGAACCCAGGACCAACAGCCCAGGGATGGCACCACCCACAGTGGGCTGGGGCCTCCCCTCCAATCACTAAAAGACCAGCCGGTTCTTATGGAGGCATTTTCTCAATTAAGACTCCCTTCTTCACATAACTCCAGTGTGTGTGTCAAGTTGACATAAGACCTCAGCCAGCACACACGACGACCAACACTCAGTACTGCACTTTCCAAAGCCCAAAGGGCTCTGAATGACAAGCTCGGACCTGACCTGACCCAGTTCTCCTTCCAGAGCTGACCACAAGGATGCGGCCCACGCTTAGTTTTTCGGGCACCAAATCTTGACCTCCCTTCCGTTCATAACTGTGCCTCCCCTTTTTGTGTTTTAGTTTTGCATCAATGGAGCTGGCAGAGAGCTTGCCTTCCAAGTATGAGGTTCGATCCCCAGCACCAGCCCTACAAGCCTGCATTATCAAACACTGTAAGCAGTTTCTGGAGAGAATGGCTGACTGTCCCTGACCCACTTCGAGGGTGCAACCGTGGTCCACCCCAACGCACTAATTCTCCTCGGAGGTAAAAGAAGACTTTATTTTTAGATTCATGTTGGAGGATTTTAGGCAAGTCACCCTTAAAAACTCGCGAGCACACTCAAAATCAACTCCAGAGAGTACACGCCCTCCGCAACCATCCGGACAGGTTCGCCATTGTCGGGGGTCAATGGGGACGCCTCAGCCTCAGTTTCCCTGAGTTGAGTCACGGCAAGGCTCCGAGAGACCCTAACGGTGACCGTGCCTACTTTCGGCTCACTGGAGGGTCCCGTGTCCGTTACGGCAGCTCTGGCACGGGCTCGCTCCAGCGCAGCCACCCACCAACCCGGGCCTCTCAAGCCACGGCCTCGCCTGGCCTCGCGGCGCAGTCCCGCCAGTCCCTAAGGCGGCTCGATCCCAGCTGCCACCTCGGTGCCTCCTCGCAAGCCGGCTCCCCGCGGCGGGGCGCCGCTCCTCAGCCTCCCCGCTCCCGCAACGCCTCCCCCCCACGCCGGGCCGCTCGCCCTCACCTCACTCGCAGCCTCCAGCTGCAACCACTCGCGGTCCATCCCCAGGCGCCGCAAGCACCAGCTCCGGCCGGCCGCGAGCTGCCCCGAGCCCAAAGGATCGGGCTCGCCCATAGCCCGCTCGGCACTGGACTGGGGCAGCGCTCAGCAACCAGCCAAATTCCAGCCGCCTTCCCGTGTCCTGGCCCGCACCATAACTAAACAACAGACAGAAGCAATCGCCCAGGGAGCCGAATCGATGAGAACGCGAGCCCGCCTCTGGGCTGGGAAGGCGGGCATTGCGCGTGCGCCGCAGAAGGAGGGGTGGGCGCGGGCGGGAAGAGAGGAGGTGCGAACCGGGAGGGCGGGCCTAACGCACCTTTGCGGAGGGAGGTCGGTGATCGAAAGTTACAGGCCGGGCTTGGCTACCCCGGAGACTTTGTCTCCAAAATCTAAAGACTTACAAAGTAAACAATAGGGCTTGGAGGATGGCTCAGCAAGTAAAGTCGCCTGCTGCCAAGCCTGGCGACCAGAGTTCCATCCTCAGGCTTCCCCTGCGTGGTGGCTGGAGAAATCCGACCCTTCAGAATGGCCTCTGACCTCCACTTGCGTACACACAAATAAATACTTAAGTAAAAAACTATAATAAATATAAAAATAAGGAACACTACCGCTTTCTTCGGGTTCGTGAGTCTAACGTGACTATCTCCCACAGTCAATACCTTCCCCTCCAAAGTTACCACCCCAGGTCTAGCAGCTACCAACTGGAACCTCTTACTTGCATCTCCCCCGTTTTCTCTGTCAGGCTGTGATGGAAGTAGAAACAAAGATGAAAAATCCCAGGCCGTCCTGGGCTACACAGTGAGTTTAATGCCAGCCTGGGATAGGAGACCCTATCTACAAAACAAACACAAAAAATGCTTTGTAACTACATGTTATTTAAAACTATGGCCTACTTTGGGTTTGGGGTGGGAGGTGCTGAAGATTGAACCCAGGGTCAAGAGAATGACAAGGGTTTGTTTAACTCTGTGAAGCTGTGTTACTGTGCCTATCTAACACACCTGATGGTCTAATAAAGAAAGACTTCTAAAGGGCTTTGCTTTCTTTTTTTCTTTTCTTTTCTTTTTTTTTTTTTTTTCTTTTGAGACAGGGTTTCTCTGTGGCTTTGGAGCCTGTCCTGGAACTAGCTCTTGTAGACCAGGCTGGGCTCGAACTCACAGAGATCCGCCTGCCTCTGCCTCCTGTTGCTGGGATTAAAGGCGTGCGCCATCACTGCCCAATATGTACACTTTTTTCTAGTCATTTTTCCCTCCACTTTGTTATTAAACCACTGCTCACACAGCATATACATTGTATGAGGTGATGATTTAGAGCAGCTCTCAATCCTTTTGCAGGGGTTGCCCACGGCCACTGAAAATACAGATGTCTGCATGAGAGCCATAGCAGTAGCAAAATACGGTTAGGAAGTAGCAATGAAAATAATTTTATGGTCTTGGTCACCACAACATGAGGAACTGTATTAAAGGGCTGCAGCATTAGGAAGGTTGAGAGCCACTGGTCTAGCGTTGTAGTGATAAGAGCGGTGGGGCTGCGTCCCGCCACCCAGCAGCCCGCACGGCTAGCTTTACCCAAAATAATTACACAGAAACTGTATTCTTTTAAACACTGCCTGGCCCGGCTAGTTTCAGGCTCTTATTGGCTAGCTCTTACATATTAATCTAACCCATTTCCTAATAATCTGTGTAGCCCACGAGGTGGCTTACCAGAGAAGATCTTAACCTGCGTCTGGGCCTAGGTAGTTTCTTTATTAGTAAGAAATCACTCCTACATCATAGTGTAGATGAGGGTTGGCAAGGCGGTTCAGTAACACTGCTTTCTATCAAAGCTCATGGCCTGTGTTCAGCCCCTGGAACACACCTGCTGCGAAGGCAGAACTGTCAGCTGTCCTCTGGAGTCCACATGGGTCCCTACACACAAAGAAGTAATAAATACATGCAACTGGTGTATATGACAATATGCATAAGGTGCAGTGTATATAAATATACATTTCATTTTATTCATTAAACACTTTACATTTATTTATCTGTTATGTATGGGGTCTTGAGTGTGACTGCCAGAGGACAGTTTATAGCTCTCCCTTTTGTGGGTCCTGGAGGGTGAAACTTAGGTCATCAGGCTGTGGCAAGCACCTCCACCCGCTGAACCATCTGATAGGTTTCATTGATTTCTATTTTATTTATTTATTTATTTATTTATTTATCTATCTATCTATCTATTTATTTATTTATTTATTTATTGAGAAAGGGTTGCTTTGCAACCCAAGCTGCCTCCGCTTCCCAAATGCTGGTATTACAGCCACCATTCCTGACTCTGCTGTTAAATATATTTGTGTGTATGTGTGGGTATCTGAGGACAACCTCAAGTGTCACACCGCACCTGTCCACCTTGAGACTTTTCGCTATTGTTGCCCCCTTCCGGCTTCCAGGGCCTCTCCTCCACCTCTCCTCTTGCCACAGGAACAAGGCTTTCACATGGGTCTGGGGAGTCGAACTCAGGACCTCACGCTTCTGTGGCACATGCCTTACCCACTGAGCTGGATCCCCAGCACCAGTCCTATAGCTTCACCTAGGTCCCTTTCGCACACGTGGAGCTGGGTATCTGTCAGAGGACATCCTGAGCCAGCCTTCACAGATACCAAGATCACAACTGGTCAAATGGTTCATAGTCCCTGCCCCACGACCACATGCCCCTGAAGGCCATGAGACATACACTGGCATTAATCACTGCTTTAAAAAAAATCAATGAGGGCTGAAGAGATGGCTCAGAGGTTAAGAGCATTGCCTGCTCTTCCAAAGGTCCTGAGTTCAATTCCCAGCACCTGGACACTGGCTGACACAGCCTGTTCTTCCCAGCCTTGACCAACAACTCAGCCTCCTTGGGTCCCGTAACAACAATGCCCCAAAGTCTGCAGAAAGCAGGCAGAGAATGACACCCACTTACCCAACACCCAGTGACCCAACAATAAACAAAAAGGTGGGAAGTGGAGCAATGGCTTGGCAGGCCTTGCCTTCTCCCTCTTCCTTCAGCCTTGCTAGAAGCCACCAAGATCTGTTCCTTTATATGGCCACTTCCTCCTCCTCTTCCTGAGGTTGACTACCAAAGTCCAGCTACCAAAGTATTGAAATCCCGCATCAAAAGCCCCCTTTGGCTCGCCTAATTACCATGCCCAATTCAAATTAAACACCTCATCCTATCACAGGGTTTCCCTCTGGTCCTTTTATAAGCTGCCATTCTCCTATGGGCCACATATCTCCCCTCTATCCAGAGGCGTCCCTTGTCTCTTCAGGACAAATACCCCTGCCCCCTACCCTTGTTCCTTCCCTTTCTCCCTCATCCTCTGTCTCCAGTGTTTGTCTCTTGTTCCCTGCCCTCTGTCCCTCAGGGACAAATAAATCTAATTTGTGCTGAGAACTTGGCCTTCCGTGCCCTGAGCCGATACTGTTCTTTTCAGACAACTGTCCCTTGCGCCATCCCCCAAACCCCAACTACATCCTGCTTGTACCCTTTGCACAGCTCAGTGCACTCCTCTGTAGCCAGAATGTAAACCTGGGGAGGATGGAAAAGACATGCTTGCTTGCAAATGGATGAATCTAGAAAAAAACATATGGAGTAAGGTAATCTAGACCCAGAAAGACAAATATAATATGTTCTCATTCATAAGTGGCTTTTAGACATAAAGCAAAGAAAAACCAGCCTACAATCCACAGCCCCAGAGAAGCTAGACAACAAAGAGGACCTACATGTCTCTACTAACAAGAGCACTCGCTTATGGAGCTCTTTGAAAGACTAATTCTTGTCAGAGAGATGTTCCCGGTCCTTGGTAAATACCTGATCATTGCTGGCTACTGTTGAGGGAGACTGCAGTCCCAGCTTCTGCAGTGGCCACCTCCTTAACCCCTGTGCTGTATCTTCACTTTTATTTTATTTATTCTATATTATTATTGTTGTCTAGACAAGTCTTGACCACTGAGCCACAGCCCAAACCCTCATCTATGCTATTCTACCCTGCGCTACCCAAGAGATATTAAATAAGGTGTTTTCCTCTAAGTTGGTACTTAGATTCCTTCAGCTTTAGATGTCCAAACAAGACACGGCTTTGAAAACCCTAAAGCAAACATCTCCCTTTGTGGGCAGGAGCAGATCCATGTTGGGCTGTAGCTCCGCTAATGATGTGAACTGTGGTTTCCCTGCGTAAGGTTCAGGGGAGGTGAGGCATTGGCTTTTTTAGTCTTGAAAGACTGAGCCGGCCAGGAAGGTGTCTTGATGTAGCGTGTCAAGCCGAGTCCCGACGTCCTCCCGGTTCTCTCATCTCTCACAGGCCGGCTTTAAAAGGCAAGCCTGCATTTACCTATCCTAGAGCTAAAGGTTTGTGGAGACTGCAGGGCAACTCTGGTGAGGTCCTCCACCGGCCCCCAGGATGAGGCAGCCCATGTGTGTCTGGTGGGAGGGAGCAGGGGCTACGACTGAGGACTCTACAGTCTGTGGGGGTTCTACTTTTTATCCAACTCTTTATTCGTCCACTCTTCTGCACCCCACCCCCAAACGTAAAGGTTCGAGCTGAAATGTAAGAAATACTACCTGATGGCTCCTTTCAAATGTGCCCCCAACCAGCTACAATCAAATAGAAAACTCTACACCCCAGTGAATGCCTGCTGGTCTGGCTATTCCTCTACCTAAACTCTGATGAGCCAGGATCCCCCGCTCCTCCCTGCCATTCCATCAAAACTAGAAGCAGAAACATGGAGTGGAATGTTGGGGACTGTACTCTCAGACCCTGAATTTCCTGTAAACAACTTGTTTTCCTATGCTTGCAGCTGCTCTGAACATGAGACAGGGGATTGGTTTCTGGTGGGCTTGCAGCTGAGAGTTAGGGCATGGCCATTGGTCAAGGAGAGCAAAAAGCTGCCCTGGAACATAATAAAGTTGGCATTCTTGTTTCAAGGATGACCTGTGTCTGTGTCTGTGTGTGTTTGTGTGTTTCAATCTCCAGCCCCTTGCCTGGCTTGTGGAACCGTCTGTCTGGTAGTGTAGGCAGGGTACGCTACAGACGTAGTAGTACCACAGTACAGGCCAGGCGCTACAGGATCATAGTACATGTAGCATGGAAAACTACTAACAGCCAAACCCGCCTACAAGGTCAAGCTTCCAATAAGCTTGAAAATGAACAGGAGGCAAAACATGAGAATGAACCCACTCACAATACCACTGAGACAAAGACAA